GTTAATAAACCATAGTCTGACATACAGAAGTAAACCATATACAGAAATACAGAAGTAGATAATGTAGTGTCTAGGGCTTACATTGATCCTTACGTCCTCTGACGCGTGCCTTCTCGAATTAACCGGCTCCAATTGTCCTTCATACCAGTCCTACAATTGGAAGTGATTTTCTTGAGTGTTTTTCGAATTGTAAACATCATTAAACATTTTAATTACTACTTACGTCGAAAGGTGCATCAAGCCTTCAGTGATATCTTTTATTGTGGCCCTTTAATCCACGGATTGAGCATGTCATGGACACCATTCCTTTTTTCCTAACATGTGATCGTCCATGGGAGCGTTCGATAACATCTTCCTCGGCTTGTTTCCTCCTTTTCTTTTGCTTTCTTCCCCTTTGTGGGGTATTCCATAAAGGTGGCAAGATAGGAAGAGTCTCTAATTGAGGCCACAATCATCTCCCATTAATTGGATTCATAATGTGATCATAGCATCTCAAATGTGTATCAATGGTGTAGCAGTTGTCCACGAAATCCTCAATTTCATTTCTAATCTCCCGTATAACGGCAGTAACGTGACTACATGGTATTTTCGTCAACTCCCACCTTCTACACGCACAATTTCATTCTTCCAAGTCGACGACATATGTCCCAGATTTGCAATCCACTTGCCACCTAGGCTCTCCTGAAAAATGTAATGTGCATTCATTGGCCATCTCAGTTATCTTGACCAATTTTTTTTTTAATTCTCGGACACAATTGCCCTCCATATCTCCTCATCTTTCTCCGACGTTTCTCGATCCTTGTCATGAACACTAATTGTACATCTGTCAACATCGTTATGATTAACTTCTCCCTATCGTCAATCAACATCTTGTTGAAAACTTCGCACAAATTGTTCAACAAGATGTCACTTTTCGACTGTGTTTTTGAAATGAGATTTACTCCATTCGACCGCAGGCCTCTCTGTTAGCCATTTATGGGCACCTTCACTGAGTTGGAGAATCTATTGCATCCACTGTCTGTAGTCAGCCAATGTAGTTGACTTAGCAGCTCGCCAAAGTAAATCCTTCAAAGTCTTTCCCTTGAATCTCGCATTGAAAAAGTTCGGGTACATGTGTTGGACACAAAACCTATGCTCAGCCTCTGGAAATAACTCGTCACTTACCTTACTTAAACCCTTCTATCTATCTGTCATCATATTCCAATCAGTCCCATTTCCCATTTGAATATCCTCAGCCAGATATTTCAAAAACCATCTCCATGCAATTGTGTTCTCTTTCCGTACAACTGCATAAGCAACTGGATAGATACAATCATTTGCATCTAAGTGGACTGCAGTGAACATTATACCTCCCCAAACACCCCGAAGGTGGCACCTATCTACTCCAATTATCTTCCTGAGCCCATGTTGAAACCCCGATTTGCAAGCACTAAAACAGATAAATAATCCTTGAAATACTTGTCCTGTTAGTGCTATCATCACTGTGGATCCTGGATTGGTCCTCAAGACCTCTACTGCATACGACCTCAATCCTGCAAATTGTTCTTCAATAGTCCCATTTATCAACTGCTTTGCATATCTTATAGCCTTCCAAGCAACATTTCGCGTAATATTTAGCTTCAAATCTTCCTTCACGGTTGCTTGCATACTTTTCGTTTTCCACTCCGGATCCACCTTAAATTGCTCAATATACCGATGGACTATGAATATATAGTTGCAATGACGATTGTACTGATCCCGACTGTATGTGTGTGAAGGTGTATATGACTTCACTTGCACTGTATCTGAATTATTCATCTTAGAAGCCCATACTCTCCATTCGCAGCCTAGTTTATAGATGCCTTGAACTCTTTTTTCATCTTTCACCTTACACTTCACATTATATCCGTTTATTGCACCATACGTTTGAAGCGCCTTCCTGAAATCTTGAATAGAACTGAATAATTGTCCCACCTCAAACTGTGGATCCCGCATATCCATATCAGTTGTAAATTTTAAAAATTGATAGCCAACCTCATCGTCAGATGACATACCAGGCAACAATTCTTCAGAGGAGGGACATTTTAAATCATCAAACTCATGGTCTTCATCGTGCATGGTTGCTGCATGGCCGTCTTCATTACATTCCGTGGCCCCCACATCATAGCTTAATTCAACTCACTCTGTCACATTTTTTTCAAATAGCAAATCATCTTCACCAGACGATATATTATTGTCGGAATCAATGAAGTCCGAGTCATCCTCCATATCTATAAAAAAGAAAAAAAAAAAGAAAAAAGGGAGAATTAAAGACTCGTAAAAATTGCAAAATAACAGAACCTTCATTATATTCCAAAGTGCCCAACTTTAGCATATTAACATAGGCAAACAAAGCTATATCTAACTTCTATTCTTTAAAACCCACCCTTGCTCTATCGTGAAACCCATACTGTATTAAAAAAAAAAAAGTTTGGAATTTACCTGGATTCGGCCCTTCCATGTGGATTCTTCACAAATCCAACCTTTCGCAGTCAAGGTAAGGGTTCACAACATCTCTGCGACTGGAGTGGAATTTCGTTTGGATTTTGTGGGGTTACATTTCTTTCTTTTGGATATAGATTCACGATTTCAAAAGGAATCAAGTCTCACGCTTTCAATTTCTTTTGGCTAAGGCGTGTTTGGTAGTTTCAAATTACTGACTGAAATTTAATTCTGAGCTGGAAACATTTAACGAGTCATGTATGTATTCCGTTTGACACGTAGGCAAGAGCTATTAACGGATTTTGGGCGGTGAGTGATGGAGTGCAACTGTACAAAGTTTAGTGAGTAATGGGGTGCAAATGTAAGTTCAATGAGTGAAATGTGACATTGTGTAAAGTTCAATAAGTGTTCAAACATTTAATTTATTATGTGCTTGTTTGATATGAATTTTGATAATTGACTTTTTTTTTATCGTTAGAGATAAAGTTAGTCCTACCTATAAAAGAAGAATTCAAAAATAACGACTAGAATAGTGAAATAATAGTTAAAAATTAATTTTAATTGGCTTAAAATATATACTAAACAAGTTCTATAGAATCAGAAAGTGACCCGCAAAAAGGAAGTCGTGTAGATATATAAATTATATATATTTTATTCCTATATGGTTAATGATTCATTGATCTTTATTTAAAAAATTGATTTAATTATTTTCACTGTTATATCACCTGAATGACATTTTTATCGTCTCAGCATGATGACGTCACCAGAAGTCGTGACAAAATAGAATATAATTTTAAGATTTTGGGTGGCTAACAAGTGGAAAATAATGGCATGTGTTAAATATAATTAACGATCACATCATTTGGATAAATCAAGTCATATAAAAGGGGATTGGTCTGCAAATGTCCAATTATTTGACACTACTATTTCCCAATCTTAAGTGTAGACAACTAGCTCTAGTTTTAAAATATAAGCTTAAACCATGTGAGAGCAATTAAGGGATTGAATTCGGACTTTACATACCAAGCATTGTCGAACTAAAAGGTGGCTACTGGAATTTTAATTCAATTTTGAATCAATAGATATAAACTTTTTCCCGAAAGACTGAATTACTTGGGATGCAAAAGCAGAAGCATAATATCTCTCTCTCTAATTGTAGCATATACCTCTCACGATGTTTGAATCAACCGACATCAACATATGAGATCACATAAAAAATAAGCTTGAGGTGAATTATTTGTTGAAGTGTGTTGTGTATGTCTAGGGAGAAAATCTCAAAATCTGTGAAAAAGTGCTAGAAGGTGAAAATACGTAATCTTGTTGTGACACCTAGTCCTAAAATGTGTAATTGTGTTATTGTAACATAATTTTTGTGATAAAATGCATTCAATTGTTCTACTGAAACATCATTGGCTGACTTGCCTTCAAGACTCTCTAGGTGATCACTCTGAGTCTACCACCTCTTCATGAAGTTTCTATGCCGATTGGAGTTAATAAGACTGTGATGTGAAACCTTAGTCTCAGTTAGGTGAAAGGGCCAAGAAGAAAAAGGGTGAGTAGGTCTTGATTATGAAGCTCAATCATGTCAAGGGATAAATCCAATATCATATAAAAACATAAGAACATTAACTAATATAAAAAAGTTTGAGTTAGTTTTCTTTATAATGTCGATTTTTTAATATGAAACCTCAAGTTTTAATAAATCCAAACCAAGGTTTCAAGACGATAAATCGGTCGAAGATAGTCTTCCAAAAAGACACAATTGATAAAACCCTTAAAAGTCTTCATCAATCCATTTTTTTTCCCCACACCTTCAAGGTTTAAGTTTGAATTCTTCCACATGGTATTAAAGTTTGACCTTTCATAGTCTGTTCTCATCGTCTTTGACTAATCCGACATAATAATCAAATGTCACGTAGTGACACATACCTAATATAAAACCAATCTTCTCTCTTTTTTGTAATTAATTTAGTATAATGTCTAAATCATTTCTTAATAGAAAGTAGAACACCAGATATGCAAGATTAATCATTGATGAACTCATTACACATCTGCTGTGTATGCCTCATCCGGGTTCGGAACGCATTTAATAAAGTCAACCTTTTGTCTACTCCAGGAAAAAAGAGAAAAGTCAACTAATATGCCATTTAAGTATAGTAATACAGTATCTTATACGGAAATGATACAACTAACAGCTTCCCAAAGTAAAAGCAGTATCCTTACCTAGTACATATGTTTCCTTAATTTTCCCGAAACAAGTGAAAAGGTACATGTGAAGCTGTAAGAAAAAAGTGGTTATCAAATAGAGTAATTAAGAAGAAGAAAACTGGGCCGGGGGGGG